AGCAACCTCCTTGAGCAGAATCCATCACGGTGGCAGACATCCAACAAAGAGCCTCAGGTCTGAAGAACTGGACAGCTCCAGGACCTTACATGATCCCCACCTACTGGCTTAAGAAGCTCACTGCACTCCATGAGCACCTGGCAGCATAAATGAAGCAGCTGCTAAAGGACGGGACTCACCTAGCCTGGTGTTACGTTCAGCGCTGCTTGGCTTTTGCGTTTTTACTTCTCCTCCTTGTATTCTACTGAGGAGTTGATTTGCAGCACCTGGATCCCTCCACTCTGCCCTGCTCCACCGTGAAGCACCAAGCTGTTGGAGATGATAATCACCCACTGATTCGACATGCCTGACTCCTCCTCTAATTCTGCACAGACTCTGTGGCGGACATCCAACAAAGAGCATCAGGTCACAGAGTCTGTGCAGAATTAAACAGAGGAGGAGTCTGGCATGCCAGGCTGGGACTAACCCTGAATGGCTAACTGAAGAGAGCACAAGTCTCCATCAAATACCAAGGAGATGCCGTGCCCCCACTGCTGTCCTGCAGGGGTCAGATCCCCGTCTACCAAATAATCAACACGACTGGCCGTGGATAGCACCATCTCTACATGGAAGAGCTTGCTCTTGTCATCCATATAGAGGAGGTCTAATCTTTAGGTGTTTGAATCGCTCTTAGTCCGACCGCCTACCTGAGACCATGCTGCCATGGAGACAGGGACTGATGGTCCAGACAACACAGCTTCCAGGAGGAAGGTCCTCAAACCCTCCCACCACGATAAGGTGGCGATTCTGCAGGAGGGATGTTTTTTTTTTTTTGGTGTGTTATTTTATTGTTTTTTTTGTTTTTTAAAAATAGTTTTTTTTTATTTTAAATTTATTTGATAGAAAATACATACGTTTTATATAAATGTTTTTTTTAGATAAGATAACCTTTATTAGTCCTACAAGTGGGAAATTTGTTTTGTTACAGCCAAAGTAAAAGGAAAGTAAAAGTTATGCAAAAGTTTTGTTATTTTATGTTATTTTATTTGATAGAAAATACATAAAATTTATAAAAATGTTTTTGTTCTTGCTTCTATGTTTTCTACTTGCTAGTGAAATCTAAACAGCTTCTCGGTTCTAAGTCACCAAGTGAGCCTAGACTTAAAAAGCACCTATAGAATATGTGTGCATCTACTTTTTTTAGAGATTTCATTTTCTTGTCTTCCTAAACAAAAAAACCTTAATTTTCTTCTTAAACATACCCCACCTCTTCTTCAGTCCCTTCAGGTATTTTCCTGATGTAACTGACGCTTTAGTCTCGCTTACCTGTGAGGGCGCTGGTTCAGTATCGCTGCCAGAAACCAGGGACCTCCGAGCTTTGGCTCCTGTGATCGAGGTTCCACTTTTATTTACTCCTGAACTCTTTCCTGTAGTAACTGATGATTTTTCTTCAACCTTACATCCATTATTTTTCCTCTGACGATGCGGGGTTGGCTCGTACGAGATCCTGGAGGACATGCTTGGAAAAGCTTCGTCCACACGTGTCTTCTCATATGAAGATTTTCCATCATCCTCACCTGAACTTACTTTTTCAACGTTGCTTTCTTCTCTTCTCTGAGATGTTTTACCTTTCTTTGCAAAATCCCACAACCTTTGAACTGCATTTGCATCTAATTCTAACCCATTCGCTAATCCTTCTTCAATATCTGACCATGATATGTCCACATCAACCTCATCACCAGAGCTTAAAGATATTCCATCGTCACTCTCACTCAGTTCCTCATCTGAGTCTAAAGATCTTCCATCGTCACTCTCACTCAGTTCCTCATCTGAGTCTAAAGAACTTCCATCGTCATCCTCACCTGAACTTACTTTTTCAACGTTGCTTTCTTCTCTTCTCTGAGATGTTTTACCTTTCCTTGCAAAATCCCACAACCTTTGAACTGCATTTGCATCTAATTCTAAGCCATTCGCTAATCCTTCTTCAATATCTGACCATGATATGTCCACATCAACCTCATCACCAGAGCTTAAAGATATTCCATCGTCACTCTCACTCAGTTCCTCATCTGAGTTTAAAGATTTTCCATCATCATCCTCACTCAGTTCCTCATCTGAGTTTAAAGATCTTCCATCATCATCCTCACTCAGTTCCTCATCTGAGTTTAAAGATTTTCCATCATCATCCTCACTCAGTTCCTTATTTGGGTTGGAGAACAAGCTAGGAGCCACGTTGTCACATAACAGATCTTCTAGACCAAGCTCCAACAAAAGTTTGGCTTCCATTTCATCTAGTCTCTTTAGCTCAGCCTCATTTGTAAGGCCACTTGTGTCTTCAGGTGATAAATCCACATCGACCTCTAAAACGAAGCTAATTGTCTCACCTGCATCAGAATCATCAGGCTTGTGATTAAATCTGTCCTCCGTAACCAAAGATGTTTCCTCTTCATCATCATTTAAAATATTCTGTGTTTCATCCTCACCATCAGAGTGACAAGAGCTGGGCGACCAGCTAGGAGAAGAATTACCTTCATCTGGTTTCTGCTCTGAAACGAACGTTTCAGCCACAGGGCTCACAGACGTCGAGTATTCAGCGTCACTTTCTTCTTCTTGTTCGGAGCAACTAGTTTCATCTCCACCAAGACTTTCAAAGCTGTCAGAGAGCAAATCAGAGTTTTTCTCTGAATCTGTGTTGCCCTCACTCAGTTCTCCTTCCGAAAAAACGCATGTTTCACCGTCTACGTCCTCCAATTCTTCATCAGTAGGAGACGTTTCCTCATTTTCTTCTAAAGAAAGTGATTTTTCATCATTCTCCTCAAAGTTCTCCTCTATAATTGTGGAAAGACCAATCTGATCGTCATCCTGATTCTCCCAAATAATCTTAGTCCGAGATAGACCAACGTCCTCGCCCCATTCAGTATCAGGATTAGAACCGCTAAGAGAAGCTCTATTTTCACAATTTACCTCCTTCACATGTGTTTCTAACCCGAGTTTGCAACCCATTCCTTCGTCCATACAAGGCAAGTCGCTGTCATCGTAAGACAACGAGTCAAGGTCGCTTTCTGGCTCAGACCAGGTCTCACATGCGTCATGAAGCATTTCAGAGCCGTCAGACACGTAATCTAAATCTTCTGCTGAAACCGGAGATGTTTTCGCTTCTCCTTCCATGAAAGCCTCTAATTCTGTAAAACTGGGCGGCGTTTCCAGCTTTTGACCTAAAGAGAGCGATTTTTCGTCGTTCTCATCGAAAAGCCCCTCTGTAGTTGCAGAACAGTCACCCTCACGTAAATCCTTTGCTGAAGACAATTCTTCTGACTGAATTTCTCCAAAACCTTCCTTAAAAGTGAAAAAGACGTCTGTATCTGGTTTGTCCCAGGAGAGATCGTCTTCTGTATAAAATAACGACAGATCATTTTCAGCAGGCGTTACAGAAGAGGAATTACTCGTCTCTTCGGATGCTAAACAGTTTCCTGATGTAACTCCGTCGTCCTGAGAAGCTGACACATCTTCAAAAGAAGAGTGGAGAAAAGCAGCTTCTGGACTACAGGAATATCCGTCATCTTCACCAGACGTCGAAGACAAGTCGTCAAAGCGTTGTTCAGAAAATTCCTGAGCAGAGATCGGTATTTCTGCTGCCTGGTCTCCGAACGCCGTCTCTAAAACTGCAGGGAACTGTTTTTCTCTGAAAATCACAAACCTTTCCTCATTTCCAGTGAAGTCTTCTCTGGGAAATTTTGAGCCAGATTCTCTAAATTCACACACATCCAAATCTGACGTAGTTATGTGATTTGACGTGAAATCAGAAAATGGTTTTTCAGTCCGTGGTTCGTGGGCCACAGAGAGGCTTGTGTGGGAACCAGAATCCTTCTCTTCGTGGAAAACCGATGGTTCCACGTCTCTGAGTAGACTAGTTGCTATTTCGGGTCCAGTAGCGATAAATTCAGACTCAGGTTTCCACAAAGTGGATGAACCGTCTTCTATTTCTCCGTAAAAATATTCAACATCAATTCTGTTTGCTTTCAGAGAGAGAGAATTCATCCCTTCATCATCTATAACCGATGGTTCGACGTTTAAGCAAAGAGAAGTTGGTTTTTTGAGTCCAGGGCTATTAAAATCAGACTCTGGTTGTTCTACAGAGGATAAATCCTCTTTTTCTGAGTCTCCATAAAAATATTCATAAGCACTTCGAACCGCTTTAGTAATTAGAGCACCTGCTACAAACCCAGTAACAGCAAACATGGCTGTACGGGTCGTTAAGAGGTTACCGTGTCCACGCATCCTTCCAGCAAAGCTCAGCTTGACTGACTGACAAAGGTGGTGCTAGCGCGCTATTTATAGGTGCGTCACAAAGGGACGTCAGCTTGATGACGTCACAAAGGGACGTCAGCACGCAGACGTGCGTCTTCAGCATTTATGAGCTCTTGGAATCACGTGTTAACCTCAGATTTTTTTCATGTTTTTTTTTAACCTTAAGCAACCCCAATGACTGGTGGTTACATGTACACATTATTATGTAGATTATTACAATAAACAAAATTAATTTCACATTTTTATTAGATCTCATAACTTCCTTGTGAGCATAAAGTGGGTGTAAAACATTAAAAGCGGGTTATTTAGATTAGTAAACTAGAATTGAAGTGTTTTCAGTGTGCGTTTGTTTATTTAACATAAGCCCGATAAAGCAGGTATGAAAAAATTAAAACCATAATTATTAACAAGTGACTTTGTCAGATATGTTTTTACGTGTAGTTATTTCTCTATAACCTCAAACACGGTCACGTTCAGCTCTCGTGACGCACGTCTCTTCCGGTTATCTTCAAAATAACTGTAGCTTATTGTGAATACAACAATTTATCATATTATTGTGATTTTAAACAAGATTAGAAACAGAAACTGAGATTAATAAAGTTTTCACCTGACAACAATCCTGTAAGGCTAAACCACGGAAACGTTCCTGTTAGACGTTAGCCACGCTGCTGACGTAAACCGGCAGGGGGGGCGTGGTTGCTTGGGTTCATCCAATCAGAGAGTAGGCGTGTTTCCGCCGCGGCGCGTGATTGGCTTACAGTCTGCTGGCAGCGCCGTTTGTATAAAACAACAACAGGAATCCGGGTTAGCATGTGGAGCGCCAGCCAGTTAGCAAGTCTGTAGGAACCAGAACGCCTCAACCCGAGTAAACGAACAGGTACCAACCCGACCGGAACCAGCGGCAGTATGTCGGTAGACAGCGTGTTTCGCACCCGGTCTCTCGGTGTGGCTGCCGAGGGTCTTCCGGACCAGTACGCCGACGGGAAAGCAGCCAAAGTGTGGGAGCTGTACATCGGAGACACCCAGAGCCGAACCCAGGAGTACAAGAGCTGGCTGGTGTCTCTGCTCCGCCAGCACGGGGTTCGGAGGGTTCTGGACGTCGCTTGCGGAACCGGGTAATGTTCCTCCAGATTCGCACTCGATCATCCACCCACAGAATAATCTGATTTAATGCTTAGTCAGGTACAGGTATGAAGTCTGACATGCACTGGCAGGTTGATTACAGGTGTGGCCGTGGTTCCGGGTATGAATAATCTTGCGGAACCCTTTATTAAAAATCACAAGTCATCGTGTAGTAATCGTGTTTTTACTGAAGTCTGAGAAGGAAACTCCTGAAGGATTTCCTAAAGATGCACCGATTCTGCTTTTGAGAGTAGATATCAACCAAAAACCCATTTCTGTACAGCTCAGATTGGCCGATACCGACTTTTCTCTAAATATGTTTGAGATGAACTTAAAAATTTAGTTTCTATGATTAAAAACTTAAACATGAAAATCTTTTACTGCTAGCATAAATTAGCACTTAGCAATAATCGGGTCATGAACCGGGAATAGGTCGGAATTTCTTTGCTGCTCGCAGAGATGCATTCAGTGACAAAATAAATCAGACTTTTGAGTTTCAGGCTGCTCACACAATGAGGATTCTCGGTGGTCCAAAGTGTGGTGCGTGGGCCGTGTGTGATTCCAGACTGTTGCTGCAGAACAAATAGATGTTTTGTTACAGGTTTGACTTTTGTGGAGTTTGAACTCGCTGACCCTCCTGACGCTGGACACAATCCGGATTAGTGCTGAGAATAATGAGTGAAAGTTGCAGCTGTGGGTCCTGGTCCGCTCAGGTCCAGAAACCAGACTGACTGTCTTCTGGAGCAGGTGTTGGGCAGTTTGCAGGAGTTGTGGCTGGTTCTGTGCAGCCTGTTCGTTGCTTCTGATAGTTTATCAGTGTGGGTCAATGTCAAGGCCACAGACTCTGGATTAGTTTTTTCCTGACAGAAACGGACCTACAGCTGAAACCAGAAGCACTCCAATCATTTTCTAATTAAAATCCTTCTAGTAAACATCCTGCAGCTTATCTCATGTCACACGCTCAGAGGAAGTGAACCAGCAACCCGTCCTCAAGCACAATCCATAGTGGAGTTTCTGTCTGATCAGCAGGACGGAGCCGTGTAAACACGAGTGTGTTTGCCATTTTTATCAGTCTGAATAACTGGCGCTCCAGCTGTTAGAACCCAAACAGAACCGCTGCAGCTTTTCTTTTAAATTTCAGCTTTGATTCCGTTTGGATTTCTTCTCTGAATGGTTACAGATTACAAACGGAGAACTCTGGTTTAGTTTAGTCCTGCTTTGGGCCCGGGGTTGTTAATCATTGGACTGAGCTCTTCCTGGTCCCGGTTCTGATGAAACACGTTCCTGTTCTCCGTTTGGCCTTGGTTCAGGTTCCTCTTCCAGGTTTTTTTAGAACAACTCGTCTCTGGTTATTGGTTGTCTATTTTTACCTGGTAGACATTCCCTCCTAAAACACCGGTACCAAATCCGTTCTGAAAAGCTTCCCACGAAGACGGACACGGGTTTGGATCGAGGAGATCTGCAGGATCGCCTGTAGGAAGATGATAAATATCAAGACAGTTTATTCATCTGATTTTATAAATAATAAAAAGAAAACGCTACTCAGCAGTTATTCTAACCTGGAAGTCTGCTTTTACTTTGAAAGCCACATCAGTCATTTTATCCTGACTTGTTTTGCAGACAAGTCATTGCGTGTGTGTTAAAAGAGCTTGTGTTTGTTTTGCAGGGTCGACTCCATCATGTTGGTGGAGGAGGGCTTTAACATGGTCAGCGTGGACGCCAGCGATAAAATGCTCAAATACGCTCTGAAGGCCAGATGGGACAGAAGGAAAGAGGCAGCATTCGATCAGTGGGGTAAGAAAAACCTCCTTTAGAAAACATCTAAACCTCATCGGACCTCATGTTCTCCTCCCTTCTCCATCAACAGTAATCGAAGAGGCCAACTGGCTGACGTTGCCTGAAGATGTTCAGAAACCAGGAGACGGGTTTGATGCCGTCATCTGCCTCGGAAACTCGTTTGCTCACCTACCGGACTTCAAAGGTAGACGAACAAAGGAAATCTAACAGTAGAACGTTTCAGGTTACCAGACTGAGGGACTCCAAACATCTGGAGGTCTCCTCCATAAACCAAAGCTCAGATCCTTTTTTCTATCGAGACACGTCTTCTATAAATGACCACAACCCAACTTAACATCGTGTTTAAGAAGAAAGCAGCGCCTCTTCGGCGAGCTAATTGCATTCAGATGAACCTGGACTGGTGTGAGATTGTGAAACAAGTTTATTTAAATGTCGGTGAAGGTTCATGAAGAGGACAAGTTAACATTTTATTAAACTAGATCCAGTTCAGAAATTACGATACGGCGACCTCTACACTGGAGTTGTTATTAAACTTTATTAAAAGTAATAAAGTTTTCATTAAACCCAAACCAGATCTGGTCTGGTACCTGAAGTCTGAAGTGAAAGTCAGATCTTCCCGTGTGGCTTCTGGACTTTCCAGAGCTAGCTTGTGTCAGCATTAGTAACGCTAAGCAGAAGCTCGCTGGCGTACTACCAAAAGCTTTTCCTGATGCTGGCGTCTTCCATGCCCGGATAATCCGGCGTACGTCCTTCACCGCGCTCCTCAGCACGTCCTGCAGCGATCAAGTAAAGCACCCTTTGCTAATGCTAACATTATCGATCATCAGAAGTCCCTCCGCTGGCTGAAAAGTCTGGAAGCATCAAACCAGGAGGCTCCTTAGATGTGGTGCATTTACTGACTCTTTAAAAAGTTGTATTTCTGATTGTTGATCAAATCTTACGGTTAAGTCCTCACAGTGGAGCCGGTCCGGTGTTTTAGTGGTGGCTTTAATGCTTTAAATGAAATGTGGAATATACGATCAGACTTGATTTCCTGCCTGCCGCGTGACTCGTGCTGCTCACAGGTGACCAGAGCGACCAGAAGTTGGCTCTTCACAACATCGGCAGCATGGTGAGACCCGGCGGTATCCTCATCATCGACCACCGAAACTACGACTACATCCTGGAGACCGGCAAGGCGCCGCAGGGCAAAAACATTTATTACAAGGTAATAACAATAAACCTGTTTTAGTTCGGTCCGAGTCGTTTTAGGGAGAATACACTTAATCTGACAAAAGTATTTAGGATTAGGATTAATTTGCTTTTGCTGTTCGTTTTATGTAAAAAATGGTGATGGAATGGATATTTGGTCACAGTAAAATTCTTACTTTGTTCTTACAAATTGCACCTTTAAAAGGTTAGTAAGCTTTAACTGTTTAATGTCTAAAGCTTTGGGTTGTGACCGAAAGAACGAGATCGCGGATACAAGCGGCTGAAATAGGTTTTCTCCACAGGGTGTCTGGGCTCTCCCTTAGATATGGGCTGAGAAGCTCGGTCATCCGGGAGGGGCTCGGAGTAGACCCGCTGCTCCTCCACATAGAGGAGCCAGCTGAGGTGGCTCGGGCATCTGGTCAGGACGCCTTCCTGGTGAGGTTTTTTGGGCACGTCCGACTGGGAGAAGACCTAACGGGAGGCCCAGGACACGCTGGAGGGACTACCTCTCAGCTGGCCAGGGAACGCCTTGGGATTCCCCCGGAGGAGCTGGCCCAAGTAGCCGGGCAGAGGGAAGTCTGAGCCTTCCGGCTTAGGATGCTGCTCCCACGACCCGACTCCGACTGCTGCAGCAGAAACGTTTGGCAAAAACAAAATCTAAACGGGAGAAAAAGACTCCACAGATGAACACGTCTGTATAGTTTCACCGATTGACACAAAGTATAATTAATATTAGTGATATTATTACTCATATCAGTAGAAACGTTAGGCTTGTTCCTGTGGAACCGACTGGGGTCCAACGACACGATTTAAATACTTTACTTCATAAACGTCTTCCATCTGAAGCAGGAGCCGTCCAGCTGGAGAGGACAGCTCCGTCAACACTCACCCGTCTCTGTAAACCCGAGTCTGCTGCTGGTACCCGACCAGAACCCGAGCAGCTCCAGTTTTAATGAGCTGAGCACGAGATGAAAGTTGTAATTAAAGTTTTTATATTTAAATGTGTTCAGATAAAGGAGAAGAAACGTGTGAGGCTGTTAGCTGGAAACCTGGCAGCTCTGGTGATTTAACGGTTCGATGCTTCAGCGTTGTCACGGAGACGTGATCACCCAACATGGGGTGGACGGGACTTTTACGTCTGAGATCAAACTCACCATCGTGTGCTTCTGTGTCCCAGAGCGATTTAACTCAGGACATCTCCACGTCGGTTCTGTGGGTCAACAGCAAGCCTCACATGATCACTCTGGATTATACCATCCAGGTACCACAGGCGGCACTGCAGAAGCTTCCGGAAGTCAGGTGGGTCCAGTCGGACTCTTCAGGCCACGTAGATCTCACCATCACTATAATCTCAGAGTATTTATCGTTTTCTTGTCTCTGTAGTAAGTTTCGTCTGTCTTACTACCCTCACCGCCTGGAGAGCTTCAGCCAGCTGCTGATGGACGCCTTCGGAGGGAAAATGGAGCACCGCGTCTACGGAGACTTTAAGACGTATGTTCCGGGTCAGAACCAGGCTCCGTGCTACTTCATCCACATCTGTAAAAGGTCTGCCTGAATACGTACTCTGGAGTACGGGCCGCTTCCTCAGTCCTTCAGCGCTTCCATCTGTTTCCCAGAAGTTTGCTGGACTGCTTCTAACCCGTCTGCGTCCTCGGGCTGAGGCTGTGTGATCGGGTCTCTTCTCCATCAGTGGGTTTCACCTTAGAAAAGAAACGTTTGTTGCTTTTTTCCACATTTTAAGACAAAGGCTGTAAAGATCTGCGGTGCAACATTTCAGTTGAGTTCATCTTCTTTTCTGAAGGGATTGAAAATGTTCAGGACCACTTTTCTGCTTTTCTCCACCGAACGCTGCTTTAATCTGCTCAGTCGGTGCTGTACAACTACTGACCATCCTCACGATGGAGTTGGTCATCAGTAATCTATAGTTGATGATGCTTTTATTTTGGTAAGTTACGTTTTGGGTGCTAAACGGATCAGAGCCGATTCCTTTCTGCCTGTAACGGATTCCTGCTTCGCTGCGAGTCGTGTTGTTTTTAAAATACTGATCAATCTGTGTGAGTTTACCGAGTTAACAAGTCCATGTATACTTTAACTCGGCTCTGACTCCCTTTAACTCAGAGACAAATGACCTTTGTAAACCTTTGCCTTGCTCCGTGTTCTGGTACCAAATCTGAGCCGACCGTCAGCCTTACAGTTTTGTGTCGACTACAGCTAACGAACTTCAAGTTAGCATAAAAGTGTGAAACGTAAAGAGCCGTTGGCTCGTTGAACCGACCAAAACGATGCTCAGCAGTGATGACATGACTGACCTGATGCGTAGTAAAAATAAATCTTCAACCAAAGATGATTGACGTCAGTAAAGAAATGTGTTGCTTAATGAGGTAAAAGAACGCTGAATGTTGAAGGTGTGCTGCTCAGAGAGTACTGGGCAGCGCTACGAGGGTCGAAAGTGCTGAAATCCAGAGGTTTTTTCTTTGAGACATGTTTAATAATCTGCTGCTTCTGAGGCGAAAGCAGCAGATTATTGAACTAACTGGGCTTTATCAAGACACAGATTTATAAAGTTCCTTAGAGCGCAAAACATAAAATATGCTTATTGAAATTTTTATGTGTGAAATAAAATAATTGAAAATTAAAATGTAAATTGTGTTTTCTTGGATCAACTTTTGTCTGTAATCGTTATATAATGTTATGACCTGATGACTCGTGATGCGGCGTGTTATTTTGACAACTTTATCGCACTTAAGATGTATTGTTTTGCATTTTCATGACGTTTGTTCTGCTCTGTTTGGTAAGAGGTGTGCCCACCCGCAGGTGGTGGTGACGCTTTGAGCATCAGTCTACAGCAGCCTGAAGGCATCATCGTGAGGATGACCCTGTCCACTTGGGGGATGAACCTGCTGTCCAAACGCCTCGGACCACGGCAGCAACCCAAGCAAAGAACACGAGCGACCTGCACTGAAGATCCAGGAGCAGGGCTCTGCAGAGGACACCAGATGATCGTTTTGCTGCTCCAGAAATCTGAGCTGCAGCACTCGGTGCTCGGGTCGCTCACTGTTGGAGAGAAATGTCTGCTAGCATTAGCGGCTTCAGAACAAGAATCCCGGGCTTAAGTCTGTGCAAGAATATGATGCAGGTGAGATTCATCCCCTAAAACAGCAGAAGTTCTACATTTGGAGAACCAAACAGACGTCCTAGTACTCCAAAGAACGCAGCATTACAAAGGAAACCTGCTGATGAAGGAACCTGACAAGAACCTGCTGTAGCGCTTAACCCTTTAAGGAACTGGGTCACATGACTAGTTGATAGTTATGTCCCATGGGTGGGACGTCTGAATGGTAAACCAACTGGTTTACCATTTGAGTCATGAGTCAGAGGACTTGAAAGCACTTTACAGCCAGTCACTCACAAACTGGTGGTGATGAGCTACATTATACCCACAGCTTCCCTGAGGCGCACTGACGGAGGTGATGCTGCCGTGCATAAGCACCATCAGCTGGACAAACCTGGCTTCGAACTGGCAACCCACCCATTACAGTGAGGACTTCTAAGCTCTGAGCCAAAGTAGTTTGTTTCATGACGTAATGCTAAAGGTCGTCAGGCATCAACATGGTCCTCCCATCTTCATTTGCCCGAGAAACAACGTTCTCTCCAAACCAAAACAAATACTCGGTTTGTAACCAGCTCTCCATAAGCCCGCCTCGCCATCTGGAAAACCGTCGTTACAAAGTTCCTCTCCTGCAGGTCTCAGGACCTCTCCAGGAGAAGACAGAAGTCTTAACCTCAATAAAAGAATCATTTGCTTTCCATACCATTGTTTTCTCACCTCACAGGTTGATTCCAGCCATACGAGTGTTTTATCTACGGTGAAAATGATTAAATCAAAAATAATTGTTTATTGTTGAAATGCATTATCTGTATCTACTTGATGAGCTAATGACGATTTTATTATCACTCATGTCACATATTAATATCAGTAAATTATTCATGACAGATATTTCATATTTAGACCACACAGGAGGAACTGAGGTGGGGCAGAGGACTTCGATAACGATAATATGAACTAAACTGGTCCAACAACACAGATGCTCTGTAGAAGGGCCAAAGCCACCTCCAGCTCCAGAGGAGGCTGAGGTCCTTCCGAGTTCATTCAGCTGCTATCATCTGTGTGAGAACGTGAGGTTTTTAAATAGATGGAAACATCAGACTTTCCCTTTACTTCAGAAACTGTATGAAACTATTTTGCAAAACACAAGTTCGACAGAAGAGGGCATCGTTTCTCTGTCCCTCTGCAACCCTCCATTTCCTCGTTTCATCTCTGATTATTTTAAAATAAAATAAACAAAATGGTGTCAACATTTCAACAATGTTCATTTTAAACTTTTGCACTTTTAATTAATATTTTGTCTGATTATTAAAGATATTGATTAGCTTGTTCTACTGAAGTGTTTCTAATGTAAAGTGCTGTAACCTCAGCGTGTGACATCTCCTTTCTCTGGTTATCTGACCTCTGAACTCAAATCCACTCGGCATCTTGAACCTTCATTACTTGGCGGCGTCTGCCCTTCATCTCACGTCTCTGAGACCAAGTGGTGGACGGCCGTGCGAGGAGCTGATCCACAAACCAGATGTGAGGACTGTTTGCCAGATGTGGCCACGCTGCTGTCGTTATGGGAGTCAGGGTGGTCAACCGTGACTGGATGAACTGGGAGGATCGCTTTCACAGCGTTGTCATTGGCCAAGTCAAACAAAAGCAGCGCAAGAGGAATCTGGTTGGAAGGAAGATGAGGGATTATGATTAGTGATGATTTTACTCAAGAACCTTTAAAGAAAAAAGGCGAAAGAGTGGATTTTAAATGTTTAGGTTAGAAAAGACTGTCGTGATCATCTTTGAGATGGAAGCTGGAAAATGATTGTGGGTCCAAAGTAAAAAACTACTAAAAAAATAACATTAAATTCATGAAGGAACCAGTTCAGGATCCAGCCTGGCTTTTAGAGCTAAAACCAGAGGAGACCTAGACCAACACAACAGATGTTTTTAGATCCATAAAACCACGAACCTCCACGTCTTTGATACATAAAAACACATTCATGTCGTGTGTTTGTCTTCCTGCTGGAGGCTTTTTAACAGAAATCCTCACTGCTGATTGGCTCTTAGAGTCAACCTGATTCACTAATGAACAATTTTCACTTTTACATAAATGGAGCTCAAATGAACCGCGGTGGTACCCTTCAGGTTCGTTCTGACAGATTTCATCAAAGCAGCTCTAATTCTCCATCTGTGGCAACAAACTGCATTCCTCCAAGGAATTATGGGAAAACTTTCTGTGGCATACACATAAACCTGCCATTAAACTTCAGATGAAAATGTGTAAGATCGAATCTGGCAGGTTACCATGATGCATGAAAAATCTCAGCACTTCCCAACGTTGAGGGAGGCAGGAGCTTGTGGAGGTGGAGGTGAAACCTGCAGCGAGTAAATCCAGGAATCCAGAGGTGATGAAAGACAAAAAGGAGGGAGGATGGAGGAACCAGACAGCATCTGATGGTCCTGGCTTGCAGTAGGAGCTGCCAGGTTAGGATTTTCCAGATGTAAAGGTTGGGAAGGGAGAGGAGGGGGAAGGGGGAATCAAATTCCTGACTCCTCTTTGTTTGAGTCTCTAAGGCTGGAAAGGGAAGAAGTTTAACATTGAAATCAGGTTAGAGCTGCTCCAGAAACATCGTGTCTCACCCAGAGGGCATCATGAAGGATGTATCTGTCATTTGTTGTTGTTCAGCCAGTGTGTGAGGAGCAGGAATAAACATTCCCAGCTGTCTCCATCACAGCACCACTGTGAAATGCTTCATTTGGTTTGGCAGTAATTTATTATTGAAGGTCACACACACGAGTGTGATGAGGAAGGGATGAGTTAGGGGTCTGGTAGCGTTTGTGGAGCTGCTCCAATAAAACTGCACAGCGTCTGTGGGACGCTCCGGCCCGGCCAACTCGCAGAGAGCTGGAGGTATTCAATGTGTTGTCTAGCGTTACTCCAGAGAATAGTCTGATCCAAAATGGACTCTTTCTTTCCCACGTGAATGGTGTGTGTGTGTGTGTGTGTGTGTGTGAGAGAGAAAACAGACTACATCCTCCTGCTGTGCTCAGAGATCCTGAACAACAAAACCTGGAGAGTGAAGAGTGAAAACTGGAAGGGGGCCCGACGACGGACAAGGCTCCTCTTGTTTTCAGCTCCTAGACAAATAAATGCAGAAAAATAACGACAACCTGCAGGAACACGAGGAGAAACACAAGATGTTTATAGGTGTTTTTCTCCCGTTTGTGTGAAAATATGTTAAAATTACATTTTAACGAGAAGAAAACAAGGATCTAAATCCGTCTTCTTCCACTTATTCAAGTCAGATGGAGGAGGTACCAGGTCCTGGAGGGAACCCAGCCCTCTCCAGCTCCACCTGGGAGATGTTAGAACATGAAAATGTTCTACTCATGGCGTCACTTCCTAATTAGTTCATGGGTTTTCCTCTTTTCAGACAATTCTGCAAGGTTCTTTAGGCATCTGTAAAAGTGATGGTCTGAGTCGGTGACGTATTGTAGACAATGTGTCCATAAGAACCTCTCCTCCATGCAATTTTACTTGAGCGTTGCTCTTCAGTAGCCAATCGCGTTAGACATCTGCTTGCATGTCAATGACCTGGATTTGAACGGTTTTACGATTTGCTCGACTCTGATGTCGAACAGATGGAGAGACGGTGATATAATGTAAGGAAAAGTAAGTTTTACTAAAAACATACATAAACATGCGCAGCATGTTGCGAGAATTATAATTGTAAAACGAGGTGTTGGCCGGCTAGAGGTGCATGTTCATGAATAAGAGGCCCTGCTTCCAGCAGCATCACAGAAGCAGGGGAGGGGCTTAAAGGCCAAGTTCACTGATAAACCGCTTCTTACTCATTCTTAAAAACGATCGTTCACTCAAAGTTTAACGTGCAGGCTCCTTAGTCTGTCATAATAAATGGACCATGACGTTTTGGGATTAGAAAAGCCAGACAGATCTCATAGAGTCACCCATCTTGGCTCACAATGGGGATGATTTAGCATCCAGGAGAGAGCAGAGCCCCTCTCGGCTAGTAGCAGCTAACGTTAGCATTAGCAACTCACATGGCAGAACTCCTCCAGGCTTGTGTTATTTGTGGAGATCAAACATCAACATTGCAGAGCAAACAGAGTCAGTGGTAGATTTGTGCTGCTGTTAGCCAATCAGAGGAGAGACATCCACATATCAGGAAACAATCCTCCAAAACCTGCCGTCTTCTTCTCCACGTGGCTGTCATATTTCCTGAAACAGGAGCACCAGTGCTTTTTTTCCTACAGCGATCGACTCACAAGACAATCATTTTTACTAGAGACCACTGCAGATGTGTTGAACACAAACTAGTGAACTTGGTCTTTTAGGTGCAATACATTTTTCTGCCTCTCGGTGTTGTCCTCTGAGACAAAAGCCCAGATTTCTGCTTCAACTTCAAAAACCTACATATGTTTCTGAGGTTTCCAGTTGTGGCCAGTACGACACGCTGACTGGACATGTCCAGACCGAGCCCACACGTGGGCTCCAGATGTCAGACCACTCCTGGACCAGAGACAAC